GTTTGGCAAAGGTGATCTGAATGCGACTGGATTCCCACAGAAAAAAAAAAAAAAAAAAGGCCTTTGTTATTCTTTTCCATCAGTGAAAGAAGGAGGTCTGACTCTTCATTTCTTTAGAAATTATCCTGTATAAAATTTAGACTATGAATATTAAAAGTGAAAGATCACACCCCAGGCACAGGGAAAGCGTGTATTCATAAAAAAACTGCCTGAACGCAACGTGGTCCTCATTTGGAAGGGGCTTCCATCCCACCACTCCTCTGCTTGCAGGATTTACCACCAGCTCCTCTCTGCCTTCATCTATCAAACGTGGTTTGTAATTGTGCTCCAGAAATATCACCCGTATGTGGAATACAACAGTAACAAACGTTTTTATTGCAACAGGTTCTGCAGCATGGAAGAACATCCACAGTAAGTAACCTTTTATTTCTTGTAGTTTGTGTTATTCGAAAATCCTGGTTCTTCCCTCCAGACCTAAAAAACCCGCAAACTACCATTCTTGATGGATATTTCTTCCTTCTCCTCCACCACCCCTCCCCCCAAAAAAAGAAAAAAAAAGAAAAAAGAAAAAAAGAGAAAGGACTATGTCAGCATGGGAAGGTTCTTGTGGAGTCAGTTTGTGGTACCATGTCATAATCCTGGCTGGCATTAAAAGCAGAGGTGCAGTCTCCTGGGGGTTTATTACAGGGCTGTACAGGTGTCGTCCTGCTTTTAAGCACTCCAAAGCAATTAGCAGCGTTTCCATTTTAACTCGGCGGGACTGTACAGCGCCTCCCTGTGCAGAATCCAGACGGATCACGTTGTATCCCAGCACCTCATAACCTTGGCTACTCCCACTCTTTTCTGCAGACGGGATCCCAAGCAGAGCTGTGCCTGCTTTCCGCTGTTCCCCTCGTTTGGCACAGGCGGGCGGCGGGGTGAAAGAGGCGGCAGGGGCCGGGGCGGTTGGGGCTGGCGAGCCGGGGCAGCCCAGCTGCAGCCCGGTTCTGCGGGCAGTAGGGCTGGTCTGCTGGTGCGAGAGGTCTCGGGGCAAGGGAGACTCTAACGCGGATTTAAAATGCTGTGAAGGCACGGAATAGAATGGGTATCAGAGCTTAGCAGGGCAATCTTTTACTGTAGGGGTTTTCGCATCCCAGATGGTCCTGCCTGAGCTGCGCCAGGGGGACCGAGGGGAGGGCAGAAGATCAGTGTGTATCTGGAGCTGCTGTTGAACCTTTCTGGCTCCAGTGAGGAGCTGGGTGCATTGGTTCTGGTCCTCCAGGCTGGGACCGGCTTGTCTCTCAAAGAGGGAAAGAAAGACTGCGGTGTTTGGAGATGCATTAGGTTGTACATCGCCCTTCCCGTTTCTGGCAGCCCGGCTCTGACCCGGAGCATGTGAAGGAGAGGAGTGTTTGTGTGTGTGTTTGTTTGCGTTTCCTCGCTTCCTCTCCCTGTTTCCTGATAAATAATCTATTTCACTGTATGTGCCAAGCTTCTCCCGGTCTTTTTGTCTTCCATTGCAATATTGGTTTTCGAGTCCCATAAATACGAGCTAAAGAATCGCCTTCAGCGTTACAATTTTAATTGTGTTCCATAGGTAACTTTCCTTCCCCCACAGCTCAGTCCTGTGCTACTTAGACGCCCTTGGCATTTTATTCCAGGGTCGGCCCTAAATGTATGGATTACTTGTTTTCTGCCAACGTACATTTAGCATACTGATTATGAACCAGAATACAAAAAGCCTGATAGATCAAAAGTATTTTGTATGGGCAGTTGAACAGGAGGTGAATATATAACGCTTTTGTTCATCAATAACTCTTTGGCTTTGACCTGTCTGAGCAAGTCGTGCAATAAGGTGAAACGCAGGTCACAGCGTCTAACAAATATGAAAATGTGTAGTATTAAGCAGAACGGGGAGCTGCTGCTTCCCCAGCTCCCTCGCTGCTCCCTGGGCAGCCCTAGGCGGGCTTGTCCGCTGCCGGGGGCTGCCCCAAAGGAGAGCTCTCTTTGGGGGGCGGAGGGGAGTTACCCTGCCAGTTCAGCCGGGTGCTAAACAACCCCCGCGGGGGCGGGGGGGTGTCCCCTCTCCCCTCAGAGAAAGGATGCGAAAGCGGGAGAGATGCTGAAAATAGCTGGGTAGGGATTTGAAGAATCCGGGGGGAGATGAAGGATATAAAGTCGTTTTGGGTTGCACTTGCTGTGAAGGAGCCACCGCCGCAGTGGTAGGAAAGCAGACGTTTGAAAATAGCATCTCCCACTCAGGCACTTGGGAGCTGGAGGCAGCCAAACAACCCGGTGCACATCGCTCGGATAAGCGCAACACCCCCAAATCTGCCCTCCGCAGTGGTTGGATGTATCACACCCGCACCATTATTTGTCCTTATGGTGCCTGTTTTAAATAGTGGAAGGAGAAGAGGTTGACCGCAGGACAGCAGTGAGGAGCTGGGTCAGACACAATTCATGAACTTTTGTACTCCTGTGTGCCGCTGTCGACAAAGTAAAAATAATGAAACTTTGTGATATGTTTGTAAATGATTTCGGCTGACCTCTCGCCCTGCCCTTCACCATAAACGCTACGGCAGGGAAAACCTGGGAGGGTGCGAGGCTAAGGCTCGCAGGCAGATCGCGGGGATAATAGCTAGACCAGCATAATAGGATGAAGGTAAATTTGGAAACTCTCTTTTTCCCGAGAGCAACTAACTCCAGCTTTTAACCTCATCTTTTTCACCAACCGCTGCTTCTGTTGTCGGCTGTTTTGCTTCTGTTTCGATTTTTCAGAAATTCTTTTTTATTTTGGGGGAAATTCTAATTATGGAGAATCTTTTCAGATTCGTGTTAGCCTAAATATTTAAAGACTCCTAGCTAAATTACTTGAACTATTATCATTCTAAATAGCGCAATTTGACTGACCACGTCCATTTTCCATAGCAAGGACGTAAGTGGCAGAGAATTTAAAGAAAGCGGCAGGTCTTTCTGAGAATTTGGTAGGCGAAATTCGTCGCTTTGAATTGGTGGAGGGTCGTGTAGCTCTATTGCAGCAATAATAACAAGCGTGAATCTTTTCTGAAATCCCACCTTCCTGCAAATCTGTATTTCAGAACTGAGTCCCAGCAGAATAGTTTGCATTCCTCAGAAGACAGTAAGAGACTAAGAGAATTGCAAAGACCTGCTATAATGTAGATGAAAACAGAATGTTATTACGTTGTCTATATATACCCTGTAGAACCGAATTTGTGTGATATTCATATAGTCACAGATTCGATTCTAGGGGAATATATGGTCGATGCAAAAACTTCACCTTTCTGCAGATGGTTAGAAGTTAAAATACTGGCGGAATCAAGAGGCATGTGCGTGCTGAACACTCAGAAATTATAAAAGTTTTGCTGCCTCGCTCCTATTTGCTAGGTTTTAGGACATTTCTTAAAACTTCGGTTGTCGTTCAGTCCTAACTCTCACTGACAATCTTTGAATCTAAACAGTTAAATTCACCAGAAGTTACAAAATTTCTGGGAGAAAAAAAAAGATATTATCTACCAATCAGTGAATGAGTCTTTTATAAGATACTCATAAATTAGCTAGATATGCGAGACATTTGCAAAATTTCCCTGTCAAGGGTCCAGATCGCATCAAAATATTTACAACAGCAGCAAAAGCAGCATTCGCCTCGCTGGAATGTATTTACTTGTGCTCCAGGAATGATATTGATGAATGAAGACCGAATTTATCTCATTAAACCTGTGATATTTTTAACCTAATTAAATGACGTCTCCAGTTCAATTGATTGAACTTTAGTGGTTAAAAGTGAACTCTTTCTTGCCATCTGTACGATTTTATATACCTATATGTGTAGATTTAGAAATATACTTTGGCATTAGCGTCTGTGCACGCATATGTTTGCACACGTATATTTTGAGGCTTGAAAGTGAATGAGAAGTTACTGATTGCCTAATTTTATTCAGCAGAACTAAATTCTGGTAACTTTTGGATGACCTCTGCTAGACAAAGACAGGACAGATCTATTGTACATCATATTACCCTCTTCTTTGATGGCTTTTCTTTCCCTCGCCTGCTTATCAGTTTCCTCCCTTTTAACCCCGCTTCAGCTCATCGCTCTGTATATTCCTTTCGATTCTTTTTCTTATTTTATTTAAAGCGAGGCACCAAGCCCCGGTGGCCATTCTGGCTAGCGGCTCGGACGGCAGGGCAGCATCCCCCGGGGCTGGGGAAGGCGGCTCAGACAAAAGGCTGTGGGCAGGGCAGCGGCAGCCGCCCCGGGGTACCCCCACACCTCCGGTACCTGGTTTGCGGGTGCGGCCCGCCGGAGAGGGGGGTCATTCGGTGAGAGGGATGTTATTGAGTGGAATCGCTGGAAATGCGGGGAAATGCGGCGGTGGGCGCCCGGCTCCCCATTGGCCGGGCCGGTCACATGCCCGCCTAACTTTATTCAGTTGACAGCAAGTAGGAGGGCTCTATGGCAGGGGAAAAAAAGACAACACGAGAAAAATTAGTATTTTCTACCTTCAGAAATTAATGGCCATGAGTTCGTATATGGTGAACTCTAAGTATGTGGATCCCAAATTTCCTCCTTGCGAGGAATATTTGCAGAATAGCTACTTAGGCGAGCAGGGGGCCGAGTACTACAGTGCCTCGCAGGGCGCTGATTTCCAGCACCAGGGACTCTACCCACGGTCAAACTACAGCGAGCAGCCCTTTAGCTGTAGCAATGCCCAGGGCTCTGCCGGGCAGCCGCGGGGTCACGGACAGGAGCAATCCGGCCCGGCGAGCCACTTCCCCGGCCCAGCAGAGCATTGTCCACCGCCTCCAATGCCCAACCCGCGAGCCTGCAGCCAGCAGCCGGCCCTCAAACCCCCAAACGGCTCCGCAGTTAAGCAGCCGGCAGTAGTTTATCCCTGGATGAAGAAAGTCCATGTTAACTCGGGTAAGGATCCTCTTCTTACTTTGCTCTTCTCCCCTGCTTCCGATCGGCCTCAGCGGCGCTCTGCCGAGTCCCTGCCAGGCTCGTGGGCGAGCTTTTTAAGCCGAGGTGGCCAATTACACTCGCCATAAATTTTTATTGCCGAGGAAATAGGCCCTTGGCCATGCGGGGCTTGGGCGTGCAGGAGAAAACTCCATTTTAGGAGCCTTCTAGAGGCTCCCAGCCTACCTAGCTGCGTGTGCCCGTAGTGCCTGCCTCAAACGAGGGGGGAAAGCAGCAGCCCGGCCATTGTAAGCGACTGGGACGAATCCAGCTCGGCCACATGCTCGCAGCTCGTAAGGTTTTCTTTTGTAAAGTCGGACCGGCAAGTCAAGATTAGCTTTGTAAAAGTTCTCCGTATTTTTTTCCCAGTGAATCCCAATTACAACGGAGGGGAACCTAAACGCTCCCGCACAGCTTACACCAGACAGCAAGTCCTAGAACTGGAAAAAGAATTTCATTTTAACAGGTACCTGACCAGGCGCCGCCGTATCGAGATAGCCCACACTTTGTGTCTCTCTGAGCGCCAGATCAAGATCTGGTTTCAGAACAGAAGAATGAAGTGGAAAAAAGATCACAAACTGCCCAACACGAAGGGCAGATCTTCTTCCTCTGGTTCAAACCCCCATTTACAAACTGGTTCCAAGGACCATCAGACTGACTTGACAACTTTGTAGAAGAGGTGAAATTTTCCATTTCATCCTTCGCTTCTGACCAGTACTGTACATAACTGACACTGCCCAAGCAGAACCTGCATGTAGCAGCTAAGGACACGAGAAACTGTCATCTTTCTTTAAGGTACTGTTGTACAAAGGAGACAAAATGACGCTACTTTGGACTTTATTTTATTTGCCTCTGCTAGCACAACCTAAAAAAGGAAAACAAAAAAAAAAAAAAAGGAAAGAAAGAGAGAGGGAAAAACAAACAAACAAACAAACCATCATGCAGGCAGTGGGAATTGGGAAAATATTAAATGAGACCTTCTGTCCTTAAAAAATAATAAATCATTGAAAATGAAACTGTCCTGTGTTTCAGTTTTGAATTCTGAAGTGAAGATTGGATGCTTTATTCTAGGATTTATACTTTTAATTGTCTTTTTATCCCATGCAATTTCGGGAGGATGCATTTTGGGCAAGTTGAGGACAGGAAATTCATAGCATAGCCTTTTATTCGAACATAAAGACTAGTAATTGTGAACTTTTTTTTTTGTGCTGCTTTACCTTTCTCGGTGTAATGAAAATTCTTGCTCATTTCCATAACGTCTCAGAAAGTGTGCATAGAAATGAAGTGAAAACGGGTTATTTTATGTTCTGGTAATGTTAGTGTATTTATTTATTTGTTGCATAGAAGAATGAAGACAAAAAGAAAAATAGTCAAACCAAAAACGAGGAAGGGGAGCTGGAATACAGAATTTTTCCTTCCCAGTCTCATGAACACATATGTAATGTTTACTTGTCTTGAACGTACATAACTTTCTTGTTCCCCCCCCCCCCTTGTTTTTAAATTTCCATCTTTGTGAATAGGAAAAGTGTCCCGGCTTCTTACCGTGTGCCATCCAGAGCTAACAGGCTTGAAATCTGTTTCCAAAGTCTGCTCTGTTCAGCGCTGTGCTTTAAACCATCGATACCTCATTTAAAAATGGAAAGAAAAAAGGGAAATAAAGAGGCGAGGCCACAAAATAAACAACCCCACAAAAAAACAACAGCAACCCAGACTGAAAAATTAATGTAATTTCTGATGTAAACTGAGCCATTCAAAGCTGAAAGCTGAACACATTTCTTTCAACTGGATTTTAAATTTATTTTCTGCTAGAGAGACATAGTCTATGTGGGTTGCTGGTTTGTTTTGTTTTGGGTTTATATTGGGTTTTTATGGCTTTGGTTTGTTTAGTTTTTAGGTTTGGGTGGGTTTTTTAAGATTGGGTAGGTTTTTTTGTTTTGTTTTGGTGGGGTTTTCCTGGTTTTGGTGGGGATTTTTGTTGCTTTTTTTTTTTTTTTTTTTTTTTTAGAACAGTGATTGCTTTTAAGCAAACCATGACACATGACTGCAATGGCTGGAAATCTCAGCAAGTTGCTTTCAGGAAAGATGAAAGGCTTGGATGGGAGCAGAGCTGGTCTAATACCCACGAATTTGTCCCTGACTGCTGGTTGCCAAAGTTTTAGTGCTGTGTAACTACCAAACCAAACCAGCTCCCTGAGCCACTTACACCTCTGCTCAGGCGGCTTTAAAGCTCAGCCCTTATCTCCTGTACCCTCAGGGCAGCCTAGGGAAGGGACCACAGAGCCAAAATTGTAACGAGGTGATCCCTTTATTAAAGAGAAAAGTGGCGAAGAAGGAAACTCAGCAAACACTGAAGGGAGGTGGAAAGAGCAGGGGGTGAGTTAACGTGCCCTGCTCCAGGCTGGATGCTTCCCACTGAGAACTCACGGCTCTCCGGGCTCGCTCGGGAAAACGCTGGCCAAAATGGGCTTGAATTAATTCGAAAATAAAAGGCGAGCTTTTCAACAAGAGTGTATTCGGCAACGTTAACTGTGGCCAGCAGTTAATTTCTGCCCTTTTCTCATCCCTTGAAGTCCGCAAAGTGTCTTTAAGACTTGGTCTTTTGTTTTAGAGCCTGGAGAAAACTCTTTGTTCTTCCTTAGGGTTAGCCCAGTTCTCAGACTTGCACATGGCAATACTTGAATATCTCCACGTCGTGATATTAAAGATGGATATTCCCGCATTATTCGCATCATTGTTTCTATGACAAAAAGCACCGAGTTCATACATAGTAAAGACGTCTTTTTTCTGACGCCTTCACGTTGAGAAGCTGAAAAGGTATTTTACTGAAGTTCGGCTAAATTGCAGGAACAGGTTCACCCAGAGGACAAATTTTCTATTCGATTAGTTGTATTTCAGCCGGGAAGAGTGACCTCTAAACCCTTAACCTTTTGGACCCAAACTACCCTTCCCTTTCTCTAGCATGGAGAGCAGCTAGGAGCAGCGCTTGAAGAGGGAATTCCTGAGCCAAGTTTTCAAGTTTTGTTACACCAGGTTCCTGCAGTAGTGGCCTTTCCTCTCCAGAGCTGCTCAAAGCCATCTTTTTGCTCTTCATACAGAGCTATTAAAATAAAGAAGAAAAAGGGGTGTGGGGAAGTAAAATCCCTCTGGCTACTCTTGAAAATCCTCCTCCCGGACCCCCGCTGTTTTCCTAAAGTCCGATAAGTTGGCTGCGAGCAGGGCAAAAGTGTTATTCGAGAGAGAGCTACCAACTTGGGCATCTGAGGTACAGTCCTGGAAAATACTGGCCTTGGATAAGCAAATCCTTGCTTTGTCCTTCTAATCAACCGAGATGGCTCCCGAAGTTAAAGGACCAACTTCTGCTCCCAGATTTCCTTCCCCCGCCCACTGAAGTCAAACAGGCATGTAGCTGCGAGCAGAATTTGTCTCATTGTCTTTTGAAATGGTAATAACTGCAGGACGAGTGTTGGCTTCAGCAGGCACAGCTCTTACAGCCCTGTTTGCACGTCCCCTTTGAGCGGGGCTGGAGCACCGTAGGTTTGCATAGGTGTGATCGCACCCTAAGACAGGACAATACGTGAAGTGGAGGCAGAGAGCACCAAACAGAAATAGTTTCCAGCTGCCATTGTTCTGAATGGTCAGGATGTCTGTAATAGTGACCAGCAGCACCCACTGGTCGTTACCTTCATGCAAAACGAACCTGAGCTGGTTTTTGTTT